ATTTTATCAAACATGATGTCAAAACCTACAGCTATTTCGCCTTTGGTAGTTCCACTTGCTTACAAGAAAAGCTTTTACTGACAAAATGGCATTGCGGTACTATGAAATCCGAAAATAAACCCTGTGTAATGTTCACGAAGAGTTATGTCGCTTCATCTACATTCACCACCGACGAAACTTTGAGGTGCAGTGTAGGCAGAGTTTGTCCACTGCAGAACTCAACTGAAAAGTTGAAATCGATGGCCATTGATCTGAAGCAATATCTTCGAAGCTTATCGAGCATTGACTAGTCTTTCTCACAGATCATCTGAGAATTTTTTGTGAATTGATGTGACTTGTATTTCATGAAGATTTGCAAAGATTTGCGATTTACAGAACTGTTTTTGCGCCTTATTTTCATGTGGTTGAAGCCACCGTCATCGTTCTTGAATTGACTGTTTGTTAAAGGAAAACATCTTCAACGACCTCAGCATCCTAGAAAAGGGGCTCAAAGAAAAGGAAATGTCAACAAAATTGCCGATGATTCATTATCGCCCTATTCGTGGAGTCCCATGAACGATGTGAGATTACCCAGCTAATATTCTATGCTAATCTGAAAGAGGGCCTAGTGAATCATGAAATCGCTTCATAAAAAAGGGATTCAAGCGTAAGTTCATTATAACTTAATGATGGTGTCTGGGCTGACCACATTATTAGACCTGTCTACTTCCGCTTCCTTCTTTCCTTTCTAATCCGAGATACAATGTTTGAAGTCTTAGAGTGAAGGCTGACTAGCTGTTTCTCCAGCTACAAGTAACCATTATAATGTCAGAGTACTGTAGTACCAATACATTCTGCTTCGCGGAATCAACGCCATCGCCGCTGAGTCATACCCATCCTAATGGTTTCAGCCAATGATTTTTCCATAACTGTATTAGTTGTTTGAGTATTATTCGGGCACATGCTATGCTTCGTGATTTCGTGAGTCTCTATATGGCTCATTGAAACATTTCGCCACGATTAAAAGTTTGGCAGGTGGCAGAGCTTCAGTGTAAAAAGAAATGCTGTGTAGAAGAACAAATGCAATGTTGACATGAATGAAATAGCTACAGTTTGTCCGTAATACACTGTCCACGTCTCCAGTTCTTGAGGGTAGATTATTACGCATTACGAATGGACAGCTCGGAGACTTTCTGCCCTTCAGGCCCGCTTCATCTGTGGCTAATAAGCATGCCAGTGCATGCCGTCTATGGCGTCGTCAATTTGAGAATTAGCTTAAATAGAGAAAAGTGAGGCAAAGGGCTGGCCTGGTCAATGCCAACACCAGCGGCGGACGTGTTTTAACGGCATTGTGGAGGCCATACTATTCGCAATGGAGCAGCTCATGTTGAGAATCCGAACTACCGGTCCAGACCCATGGCGGTAGTGGGTAACAGTTTTTGGCATTGGTGGCTTACTGTAGCCAGCTCGCACTGAATGCACGCGACTGGCAACTTGTCCAAATAACCATTCCGTGCTCATTCCGTCGTCATAACCTCTTATAGCCCCTTAGCTCAATTTCTTTTCGGGCTTTTATCTCAGCCACCTTTTACTTCTATTTTTGCGTTATCTTCGCCGTTGATTGCGCTATTTTCCATTAGCACTTTTTACCTTATAGATGTCTTCCGTATCCAATGGGAAGCGTGCTTTTAGAAGCGAAGTAATATCCTCACTTGATTCTATTCCAGCAATTTTATCATTCCATGGGGATTGGAGAAAAGTAGGTAGTATGGATGCGGCTATCTCACCAAATGGAAGAGCAGGGATGGCATACCTTATCCCCGAAGGGGAACTCTAATCCGCCCACTCAATCTTTTATAGAAAATAACTCATTGCAGGATGTATCCGAGCAGCCTACCATTCTCAATCAAAGTATTGTCTTTTCTGATCTGTATAATCAGTTTATTGGGAAATGGAGTGATCGTTTATGCAACATTGCTTTCGAGGTAAGCGCTTTGTGAAAAAACCTAGTAATTGTGATCATTACGTAGATGCTGTAGATATGCAACCGCCAACGGTACACACCTGTTTATCTTCAGAGCGTTACGGAGTCCGTGCAACATACTCATTGCTCTGGTATCCCTCAGCGACATGGTGCTGATTTCCACAATCCTCATATCTGCCGTCGTTCATAATATGTTCGTTTCCTTGAAGAGCTATTGAGTATTCGTAAAATGATATGGACATAACTATTAGTTGATGCATAATTATTGCGGATTTTTTTCTCAGCAAACTTCACAGAAAGACAGTAATGTCTAGCAAAAACATGCTCAAATAATTACTCCGGAACATATCCACCATCTACGTCAAGCACTGTTTCTCATTTGCTAGGCAATTGAATTCCACAGACGAAGAAGTTTCGATTCTTGGAGAGTTCTAGTCGCTGGCCAATTTTTCAACGGGCAATTGACGTGATAATCCGTAAGGGTTTCTGTTGGTGAATAAAGCGACCGTGGAAGCGAATTCCCTTCCTTATTCGGCTTTGGCTGATTAATTCATCGCTGTGAAGTTCGTTGAGATCACTTTATGTCTGTGCCACCTTCTTCTTGGATTAATAGAGCATAATGTCGCTTATATAACAAGACTTTCTAAACATATTTCTTTTAAGGAAAGTAAGAAGATTATTTCTATT